GGAGGAGGAGGAGGAGGAGAAGGGGGAGGGGGAGGGGGAGGAGGAGTAGGAGGAGGAGGAGGGGAAGGATAATAGTAATAATCATAAGAAGGCGAATAATAATACTCTTAAGAACAATAAGAAAACGAATAATAACAATAATACGAATAACAATAAGAATACCAATACTAATAATACTAATAATACTGATAATATTACTAATAATACTACTACTACTACTACTACTAATAATAATACTAATACTAATACTAATACTAATACTAATACTAAACAAAGAAGAAGAGGAGGAGGAGCACGGGCTTTGGCGCGAAAGGCCTTTGACTGTTCCCCCAGTGTGCTGTTGTAGCATTGCGTGCCGCTCGCCTGTGGCCGCGACGGGCTGGAGCGCCTGCAGTGCAGCCAAGACGCTGAGATAGTGACCACTTTTGGCTCAGGAGGGGCTTTGGTTTTCTGGCCGTTCCCTACGGTTGAGACAGCGTGTCGCTCCGCGGGTTCTGGCCCACCGCGCCTCGGCGCGACACGCTATCCACGTCGCAGTCCCCTGGCGTCAACGTCCCGAGCCTTTCCGAGTCTCCCGCCCCGCGGAGTGGCGCGACACGATATCCGCTCGCAGAGAAAAGCGTGTCGCTGGGGCCGCTGTGGCGACACGCTAATCAACAGTACCCGACCGTAGAGCTGCTTGCTCCGAGGCAGCAGACGTTTGCGACTTGAAACGAATTCGCCTTGGCGCAAGCCCCTCGCTCCGATCATGTGTGCAAGTTCGCTTCAGGATGCGGTGGAACGGGACGCTCCTCTCCGACAGCACGCCGTCGCGTCGCCGGAATCTCCTGCAGCACACCGTCGACCTCGGCACCCCAGGCCGCCGAAGCGGGGCCACAGTCAGTTGGTCGGAGGGCCGGCCGCATATCGCCGAGGCATCGGCGATGCGACTCGATCTGGAGCCCGATGTCCCGCAGCCCAGCATCGTTGATTCCTCGGCGATGCATCGGTGATGCAGGGCTATTATTCCGATCCCACCTGCTCTGGTTCTTCTTGGGCGTCCTCCGGACACAGATGATCGGCCTTCGGGCCGATCGGGAGCAGTGTAGCGAAGCCGGACACACAGGTGATGCGTGGGGCTTTGGCTGCTTGCTTTCGTGACCCCTCTGCTCATCCTCGTCGTGCCCGGGATGTCCACTCAGAGGGCCGTGGTTGGCAGTTCATGTTCTTGGTCGTCAAGATGGTCTTTGGCTCGGCCCTGTCCCCGACAGTCCCCGACCGTCGCGTCGTGCTCGGCACACGAACACGCAAGCCAAGATTGACTGGCCAGATTTGTTGATTACGTTGCAAGACAAGCACAGGGCGACGGTGACTCGCCGTCGTTTGTTTTAATGCCATCGCATCGCTGTGCTCGCCACGAGGTGTGGGGTGCGGGGGTGGGCTTCGTGGCGCCACCCGTAGGTCCCCCTGGGCGCGCGCGTGGCTCGCTCTTGCCCTTCTCCTTTCCTTCTTTGCGGCTGCTCCTTGTCCGCCACCCACCGGTGTCTGCGGTTGACCTCCGCTGGAGGCCGCGCCGCCGCCGCGCGCGACACGGCCAAGCAACAACCGTGTATATATATACATACACATCGATATATATATATATATATATTTATACATATATATATATATATATGTATATATATAGAGAGATAGGTGTATGTATATAGATACATGGGTGTGTATATACATATACTCTCCTGCTTTCCTCCTTCTGCATCGTCGACGACGAGACGCCCATGCTGAAGGAGAACCACGCACACTTTGTGCTGCTTCTTGCTGTGTAGGGTTGGACCTCTCAGATCCGGTTGCTACCCGCTGGCTGGGCAGCCTGGCGTGAATATATACCAAAGGCGAGGGTATGGACAGGAGAAGAAGAAGAAACAGCAACAGGAGGATAACGTGCTGCAGGAGGAGGAGGAGAACGAGGAGGAGGAGGACGAGGAAGATGAGAAAAACATGGAAAAGGAGGAGGATGTGGATGGAGGAGGAGGGGAGGAGGAGGAGGAGGAGGAGGAGGAGGAGGAGGAGGAGGGGAGGAGGAGGGAGGGAGGAGGAGGAGGAGGAGAGGAGGAGGAGAGGGGAGGAGGAGGAGGAGGAGGAGGAGGAGGAGGAGGAGGAGGAGGAGGAGGAGGAGGAGGAGAAGGAGAAGGAGGACGAGGAGGAGGAGGAGGAGGAGGAGTGGGAGTGTGCGAAGTCATGCCCATCAGGGGCATGGCTTGCTTACCCTTATTTGACTTCCTCCATCTGGTTTCCCGCGCCTCCCCTTCCCTCCCATTTTCCCTCATCCCTCCTGGGCGTGACCCCCCCTGTTCCTATGGCTCCTCCCACTGGCCACCCCTAAGCAACCGCCACCGCCGCGAACAGATCCAGAAGAAGGAGACGCCCGTGTGGTACGTGGAACCTTGCGCAGGTCCCGTCATAGCTGAGGCATGGTGGAGGAATCAGATGCATTACCAGGAGGAGTGAGGAGGAGGAGGAGGAGGAGGAGGAGGAGGAGGAGGAGGAGGAGGAGGAGGAGGAGGAGGAGGAGGAGGAGGAGGAGGAGGAGGAAGAGGAGGAGGAGGAGGAGAAGGAAGGGGAGGAGGACGAGGAGGAGGACGAGGAGAAGAAGGAGGAGGAATATGACGATGAGGAGAAGGAATAAAGCCACGAACCGCCAAGCGATTGAGGCGTGTCTGTGGCGAGTCAGTGGCAGTGTGCCGACCGATCGGCCACGATTCCCCTGTTCACCATCTTCGCAGCCCCCAAAGGAGCCGCGAGGTCTCAAATGGATTTGCGCTCTCTTCATCTCCGCCGTGCCTCCCAGGAGCCCACGAAGGTGGTGGCAGTTGCGCACCCCGCAGCCCCCGAGGGAGCCGCGAGGTCTCAAATTGATCTGCGCTGTCCTCGCCTCGCCTCCGCCGCACCTCCCAAGAGCACACGAAGCTGGCGACACTTGTGCACTCCACAGCCCCCGAGGGAGCCGATCTGGACGGCAGTGACCAGGATGCGGATCACCCACATCCGCACGCACTGTTCCAGTTCAGATTTTGAAGCGGTGCCTGGGGCACCGAAGCGCTGGGCAAGCTGGAGACGGAGCGCCGAAGACCACGGCGGAGCAAGACCTTCCCGCGGGCACTGGTGCCGGAGCGAGTGAGGGCCGCGGTAGCCCTGTGGCGGCGGAGCCCCGAAGGAGGTTTCGCGGACGAATCGAGACCGTCGGAGGCTTGAGCCGCGTGGTTCCAGACCCCGACCCCTCGTCGTCCTCCCTCCCCCTTCCTGCCGATGCAAGAGCTGGCAATTGTGTCGGCATGTCGGATGTGTCGGCGTGAAGGACCAACGCTGTGAAGTGCCTACTCTCTGCCCCACATTTTTTTCTCTGAGGGATGAGGAGTCTACCTCATTCGCCGCCTCCACCCCCACATTCTCCTCCTCCTCCGCCTCCTCCTTCTCCCAATCATCATCATCATCACCACCACCGCCATCAGCATCACCATCATCATCAACGTCCTCATCAGCATACTCATCATCCTCATCGTCATCGTCATCGTCACCACCACCACCATCATAGTAATCATCATCGCCATTCTCATCAGCATCATCAGCATCATCATCATCATCATCATCATCATCATCAGCAACATCGTCATCACCACCATCATCATCCACATCATCACCACCGCCATCATCACCATCATCATCATTATCACCGTCGTCAGTTTCATCGGAATAGCCATCATAATCATCATTAGCATCATCACCATTCTCAATACCATCACCGTCATTATCAAAGTCAGTGACGTCGTTGTCGCCATTTTCGCCGTCATCATCATCATCATCATCATCATCATCATCATCATCATCATCATCATCATCATCATCATCATCATCATCCTCATCCTCATCCTCCTCATCATCATCATCATCATCATCATCATCATGATCACCGTCATCGCCATCAACTTCACCATCTCCGCCATCATCATCAGCATCATCAGCATCATCACCATCCTCCTCCTCATCATCACCACCACCACCATCCTCACCATCATGCTCGTGTTCATTCTCGTTACCATTACGATCATCACCCCGCACGCGTGGTCGACCATGTAGGCCACACTCCAGAAGAAGATTAATTTATTTCGTCGTGGCGTATGATGTTTCCTTCGGTCTGCTGCTCTCCGAGAGAACCGTGAGATTCTCGTCCGGATTTGCGTGGCCCTCCACCCCGCTGAACCTCCAAGGAGTTTACGAACGCGGCGACAATTGAGCAGTTCGCAGCTACCCAGGGAGCTGCGAGGTCCCGTCTGGGTTCGCGTACTCCGCTACTCCGCCCATCATCCCAGGAGCCCACGAATATGGCGACAGGTGCGCAGTTCGCAGCTACCCAAGGAGCTGCCAGAACCCGTCTGGGCCCATGTACTCATCTACTCCGCCGTGCCTCCCAAGAGCCCACGAAGGTGGCGACATTTGCGCAGTTCGCAGCCACCCAGGGAGCTGCGAGGTCCCGTCTGGATCCACGTATTCCCCTATTCCGCCGTGCTTTCCATGAGCCCACGCACGTGGTGACAGTTGCACAGTTCGCAACCACCCACGGAGCTGCGAGGTCACGCCTGGATGCGCATACTTCCCTACTCCGCCGTGCCTTCCAGGAGCGCACGAAGCTGGCGGCATTTGCGCAGTTCGCAGTCCCTCATGGAACTGCGAGGTCCCGTCTGGGTCCGCGTACTCCGCTATCTACTCCGCCGTGCCTCCAAGGTGCCCACAACGTGGCGGCAGTTGCGCAGATCGCAGTCCCCCAAGGAGCTGTGAAGTCCCCGCTGGGTCCGCGTACTCCGCTACTCCGCCGTGCCCCCCAGGAGCCCACGAAATTGGCAACAGTTGTTCAGTTCTCAGTCCCCTAGGGAACTGCGAGGTCCTGGCTGGGTCCGGGTACTCCGCTACTCCGCCGTGCCTCCCGGGAGCCCACGCAAGTGGCGCGAATTGAGCAGTTCGCCGTTCCCCAGGGAGCTGCGAGGTCCCGTCTAGATCCGCGTACTCCGCTACTCCGCCGTGCCTCCCAGGAGCCCACGCAAATGTCGACAGGTGTACAGTTGGCAGCCACCCACGGAGCTGCGAGGTCCCGTCTGGGTCCGCGTACCCCGCTACGCCGCCGTGCCTCCCAGGAGCCCGAGAAGGAGGAGGGAGAACGAGGTAGGAGACAGGAGGGAGGAACCATGAGGCAAACGGCAGGACGTCGGAGGCAGGAAGGAGGAGTGGGGAGGCGGGAGGAGTGGATTTCACAGCGCTCTATTCAAAACGAGAGCCCAGCATGCAGGAGGGTTTGGACAGCATAACGATACGATAAAGTGCGTTGAACGGCGTGCGAACAACAAAGCGCCATCAGTTTTGAACTGATTGGTTTTGAGGTCCCACTTCTAAAGAGTAGTCACCCGAGACGTACCTGACACCTTCTCCACGCGAGGCGAATCTTTGCATGGACGCTCCATACAGAAGAGCACATCGCCAGATATGCATGATCTGCAATGCCCTCATCTTCGCCGTGCTTCACAGGAGCCAACCAACAAAAGGCGACAGTTGCGCAGTTCGCAGCTCCCCAGGGAACTGCTAGGTTTCGGCTGGAACCGCGTGGCCCCCGACTCCGCCGTGCCTCCCAGGAGCCCACGAAAGTGGCGGCAGTTGCGCAGTTCGCAGCAGCCCAGGGAGCTGCGATGTACCGTCTGGGTTCGCGTACTCCGCCACTCCGCCGTGCCTCCCAGGAGCCCACGAAGGTGGCGGCAGTTGCGCAGTTCGCAGCCACCGAGGGAGTTGCGAGGTTCCGTCTGGGTTCGCGTACTCCGCTACTCCGCCGTGAATAGGGGAGCCCACGAAAGTCGCTGCAGTTGCGCAGTTCGCAGTCTCCCAGGGAGCTGTGAGGTCCCGTCTGGATTCTCGTATTCCGCTACTCTGCCGTGCCTCCCAGGAGCCCACGGAAGTGGCGCGAATTGAGCAGTTCGCAGCCACCGAGGGAGTTGCGAGGTCCAGTCTGGCTGCGAGGTCCCAGCTGGGTCCGCGTACCCCGCCACCCCGCCGTGCCTCCTGGGAGCCCGCGAAAGCGGCGGCGGGTGCGCAGCTCGCAGCCACACAGGGAGCAGCGCAGAAGGAGGCAAGAGGAGGGGGGGGAGGAGAAGGTGTGCGACCGCAGTGCTCGACCCCAAACGAGAAGCCAAGACCCCGGGTGGGGGGGGGGGGTGAAATATAACATGAGGTCGGAGGCAGGAAAGAGAGGAGGCGGGGATGATGAGGAGGAGTGACGATCGCAGTGTTCTATACAAATTGAGCTCCAACGCGCAGGAAGGTTGGGAACTCTTTTTGTTTCCCCTCCCCCTCCGGCGCTCCGGTGCTCACTGTGTAGTTTCAATTGAAGTGCCTTTCCCGGGGCTCGCACCCGTTTTAAGAACAGTTTTGAGGCTCAGATGTCCTACCACAGCAATGCTTTTAAGACTGTTCGCTCTTACCCGCTCGTGTGCCATTCAACACGTCTATCCCAAACCCTCGATACGCGCCCTCTTCGTCTTCGTTCGTTCCCCCCTGGGGGTATATCTTCCTTGCCTGCCGCCTATCATTGGTGCAGCCCCTATCACAGGGGAAGGGAGGACGGCTGGAAAGGGGAGGCCGACGAATGGAGCACCTGATTAGCAGGAGGGTTGCTAGGAGCAGGAAACATGTGATCGGCGCAAAAAAAGAGATGTCGTCTGCGCCGGCATTGGCGCGTAAGCTGCCCGCGTAAGATCGCGCGTACGCGCCCTCGTCTCCAATACAGCGTGCCGCGCTGGCGGCCCGCGTAAGCCGCCGCGTAAGATCGCTGTGCCATCTCGCGTGGGACCCCTTTTTGATCGTCGCTCACGTGGCAGAACCAGACGGGCTGACCAGACGGTTTCCGCCCCATCCCCGACCGCTCGCCCGGGCCATAGTTGTCGCAGGTGGCTGGCTCCTCCTGTTGGCGGCTGTCTTTTCCCGTGGGGGCAGCATTTGTTCGTCCTGGCTGGCGCTTTCAACAGGCAGCGGGCGCGTTGTGGCAGCCTGTGGAGCTTCGCGGCGGTTCTCCATCTCCTCCCTAAAACAAGAAAAGACGGGACGGGCTGACCGGACGGGACGCGTAGACCTCACGGGCGGTTCGGGAAGACGGGCCCAACCGCTAAGGCGAGGGCGAGTATCACGTGAGGCGGCTGCGCAGCGACGAGGAGTGGGCGGACGGCAAGCACCCCCTGCCCTGGCCGAGGCTCGAGGCGCCACGCGCTGGGCGCCCCCCCTGGGCATCTCCTCGCGGGCTGGCCTCAGACCCCTCCCTCGGGAGGAGGATGGAGGAGGAGGAGGAGGAGGAGGAGGAGGAGGAGGAGGAGGAGGAGGAGGAGGAGGAGGAGGACCAGGAGGAGGAGGCTAGACTTGACCAAAAAAGGTCTTGCAGAACGAACTCGGCCCCAAGGCCCGCGCAGGCATCTTGCCCACGCACCCGCGCGCAGCGAGCTGCGTACGGGCACTGGGATCAGAACTTTGGGTGGTCCTCAGGACCCTGGGCCGCACGGGCCCTCAGCCTCGACGCAAGGGCCTCGGCTCCGGCCTCTAAAGCACTCGACCCCAACCGTCGGGCCTGGGCCGGCTGGAGCCCGAAGGACGGCAACACCTCCAGGACGGTCGGCCTCTTCGAGCCGTCGGTCGGGGGACCCGTTTGGGCCTCCACGGAGCCACTGGGGGAAACATGCCCAGTCCAGAAATCAATGTCAAATTCCGAGGGCGACGTAAGGCTACCAAGAAGCCCTTTCCCGCTCTTGGGGTGCTCCCCACGCATGACACTGCTTCGATTGTTCGTGGCACTGGGGACCAGGCCCCCAGAACATGTATCCTGGAGGCCTCGTCCCTTTGTATCAGAGATGTACCCACAGCACGTGGAGCAATACAACAAGAGACCATTCGATCGCGATGCATCGCGGGCATTTTGATCCGCGAAGATCGGCGCCGCGAGCAGTGCGTGCCCGCGCACGCGCCACGGCCGCAGGCCGTCGTCTGCGGCAGCCCGCTGGCCCCGTCCGAGCCGAGGGAGCTGGCCTCGGGCTTCACGCCGTCTTCCCCGTCCGACTCGTCGGGGCCCTCGCGCCACTCGCCCAAGTCGATCAGCTTGAGCGCGCCGACGCCCATGGAGCCCATCAATCCGCAACGGGAGATGCAGACCTCCTGCAGCGCTGCATACTGCGCCGCCTGTCTGGCGATCACCCAGCAGCCCTCGAGGCACTGGATGTCCGCCAGTGGCGCCCTGGCGGCCGCAGCTCCCTCCTAGGCCCGCATCTTCGTCCTGGCGTTGCCGTCCAGCTCGAACTGGGTGGTCTGCCCGTTCCTCACCGCCGACTGGCCCAGGTTGGCCTTGACCTTGACCACCGTGGCGTCCTGGAGCCTTTCCGCCCTCCCAGCCCGGAAGCGGGCCCGCTGGCAGCTGGCGGACGCCGCCGCCTCTGGGCGAGGAGGAGGAGGAGGAGGAGGAGGAGGAGGAGGAGGAGGAGGAGGAGGAGGAGGAGGAGGAGGAGGAGGAGGAGGAGGAGGAGGAGCCTGTGCAGCGCCTGGTGGCGAGGCAGTCAATGTAGAGGCGGAGAGAGCCGCCTGCCACCGCGTCCGTCAGCACCTTCACCGCGGTGTCCTCGCCGTCCCTAGCGAGCTGCTCTGGGCCCTCGCTGAGCGGGACCGCGCCCCAGGCCTCGGCGATCAGCTTGCGGTTCGCGTCTTGCACCGCGACGGACCAGCCAGCAGCCCGCAGGTTGGGGTAGGCTTGGTCGACGCCCGAGCCATCGACAAATATGTGCTCCCCGCTGAGGTGGGGCCCGATCTCGAGCCAGCTGGTGGAGCACTGGAAGAAGTCACCCACGGGCCGCGTCGGCCGCTGGAAGAGCTCCGACACGTCGGCGAAGACCCCCCAGCGAACAGCTCCGTGAACGGGTAGCCGAGTCCCTCCACCTGCTCGGCCGCCTGCCTCAGCGGGGGCTCGAGGAACTCGCGTCGCCATCCGTCGTGGGCCTCGCACTTGAACCGCCTGTGGTAGAGGGGGCCATCCTTGAAGCCGCACAGCTGGCAGTTGGTCGGGACCGAGGGGTCGACGGCAAGGACCCTGGCCTGGCACCAGTAGGTGTTCGGGACCAGGCTGCGCAGCGCCCGCTGGTGGTGCAGGTCCCGCACCGCCGAGCGGTGGCCCGTGAGGTTCAGAATCGGCTGCCAGAAGGGCGGGACGTTCCAGCCCCACATGCTGGGACCCTGTCTGGCCAGCTCCTCGAGCCCGATCGCCACGCGGCAGCCCAGGGAGACCATTTAGCCGAAAAAGGCAGGGGAATGCCTCTGCACCGCATATACGCTGCCCTTGGGGCGTCGTGGAGCCTGTACGGGTCGCCCTGGACGAAACCCCACTTGGCCCCCTCGAGCGCGAGGGCCAGCGCGCTGATGGGCTGCGTCACCATTCGCCATGGGTGCTGCTTCTGCGCGATGGCCAGACCCCAGGAGCGAAACCCAGACCATCTCCACGAAGGCCACGAGCGCCGTCTTGGTGGTGATGGTCAGCGGGTCGCGCTTCCAGCCGCTCGTCTCGGCGAGGCTGGCCGACCCAAGCGCCGCCCCGCGGGGCGAGCGGCCGCGCGCCTTGACGGCGCCAGCTCGCAGTTGGCGTAGGCGCCCGCTGGGGGCTCGCACGATGGCGGAGCCCCACGTAGCTTTGGCTGTCGGCCTCGCGCGGTAGACTCGAGCTCGGTCTAGCCCTGGCTTGAAGAGCTTGGTGAGCTTCTCCCCCTGGGCCTCGGCCTGCCGTTCTCTGCTGCCCGACGTGGTCACTCTGCGGATGACCCCGAGACGGCGTCGCCTCCGAGGTCGCCTTGCTGGTCGCGAGGGCCTTGGTCTTGCGCCTGTTCAACGGCAGGCGAGCCTCCTTCACCTTGGCGCAGAAGGCCTGGTTGGTGGCTGCTGCGCCATCATGGTGAGCGGCCCCGGCACGTGTGCAGAGACGTCGCCCACCACGTTGGGAACCCTGGCGATGGGGGCGGCCACCGCTGCGGCTCGCAGGGCGGAGAGCAGGAGGAGCTTGGCTAGGGCCGTGGCGCACGAGCATCCAGCCGCCACCGCGCCGTTGGCAGTGATGGGCACGCTCAGACAGGTGCCGATGCGAGCCCTCCTCGGGGCCAAACACGCACGGCAGAGGGCCCTCAGCAGGCCCATGTCAAAGCCCCGGGCCAACGCCGCCACCCGCAGCTCAGCGTGTCCGATGTGCTCGTAGTCGTAGTACTTGGATAGGTCGACGTAGAAGGAGGCAGCTTCCTCATTGGCACCCCTGGCGTGGGGCGCGCACACGTCGTGGAGCTGGGCCGCCTCGTCGCAGCCCCTGGCCGTGGGCGTGCCCCAGAAACCCGACTGGTCGATGGGGCGCCCCCCACCTCCTCCTACTCCGCCTCCTCCTCCTGGCGCAATCCTTCTGGCGGATGCGCGACCAGATCCTGGTGAGCAGCGGCATGAGCCCGATTGGCCGCTGCCCGCCGTCTGGCTTGGGCAGGAGTACCATGAGGATGGTCCAGAGCTCGCCGTAGTGTGGGTTGCGCTCCCACGCGTTCAGCAGGCTGGCCATCCCGCCAAGCATGTCGTCGCCCACCTCCAGGAGCAGGCGAGGGTGGAGGTTGTCCCGGCCCAGCCCCGTGTGCTTGGACAACTTGCGCGAGGCCAGCTCGCTGTCGTCCAGGGTAATAGGCTGCGGAGTCCAGCCGCCGATTTGCCAGGACGTCGGGCGCTCATGGTCGTCGCGGCGGGGCTCCGCCCATGGCGGGAGCCAGTCTGCCAGCGCCCTCTCCTGCGCTGGCCGGCCAACTAGCGCCATGTCGGTCGTCCCAGCCTTGAGGATGGACTCAGGTTCTCCGTGGGTTTCCTTGGAGACCTTGCGGGCGATGGAGCCGTGGCGCTCGGAGGCCTCGTCGGTGAACTCATCCCATGTGATCTGGCTGGCCTTGGCGTCCTGCTTGGCGCAGTTGCCCGCGATCTGCTCGATCGCGGCCAGGATCTGGTAGTCCGCGTCTGATTAGTGGGCAATCTCGTCCCAGAAGCTGCCGAAGATCGCGCCGTCGAACATGGCAATGCCCTTGGCCTGGAAGTCCGAGACCAGCCTCAGCGCCGCATCGTGGAGCATCTGCCTTCGCCAGGTCTTGCAGCTGCCTGGCTGGCCTCCAGGGCCAAGGTCCTGCCTGCGCTTGACGAGGTGGCGCAGCGACAGCCAGGGCGGTGTGGCAGGCGAAGCTCTGTCCATGCGCCTCGCCTGGACCTTGTCCTCCAGCGGGGCGGCGATGTCCTGAGGCCCTTGGCCGTGCCCCTGAAGTAGCGGGCCTCGCTGTCGGGCATGCCGCGGGGCGCCTGCAGGGGCCCCTCGACCTGACAGAACCAGCCATTGACCTGCCCCATCGGTGCCTGCGTCGGGCGGGGGCCACGGCAGCGCCGCTGCCACCTCAAGCTCGAAGCACTTCGGCGCCCGCTGGGTCTGGACCGTGGGCCGCTGCCAGCAGCCTCGCAGCGCGAGCGTGACCGCCGCGTGGGGGCCGTTGGGCGCGTCCGCGCGGGCTGCGACGGGGTCGACCATGTCCTGAGGGGGGGGCCCGCGACGTCGACGATGCAGGCCATCACCACTCCTTCACTGCCCGCGAGGTGTTTGATTACTGGTCTGTTCCCCCCTTCCGCGCTGGAGCTCATGATCAGCAGGCTGGGCTGGTGGCAGAGCATCGCTGCCGAACTAGGGCATCACGCTCAGCTACTAGCCGCCCTCTTCGGTCGTTGTCTCTTCGAAGTGCGCATGGGCGCGAGTGCACCGTCTCCCCCGCTCAACCCTGGTGGCGCGATCAACTCGAATTCAAATGTTCACCCCTGGGCCCGTCAGTTGCAAGCAGGCCTGCAGTGCGTCCTGGACCATCCTGTTGGGGAGATCTTCGGGAAACGTGGGGCCCGCCAGTGGTTCGAGAACTCTACCATGATTCCGAGGCCAGCGACACCTTCCGAAGAATGGACATGACGGTGTTCCGCGCCACGTTCTTCCCGAGGAATGGGCCCCCTCCCCGACGCCCCCCTCGCGGAGCACATCCAGACCCAGACGCTGGACGACGACGACTCAGACGACGATGAGCTTACGTTCGTATGCGGCATAGAGGGGTGCTGTGAGAATGTCAACACCATGCCTGGGCTCATCGCGCATCGAGTGCATGTTCGGGCCCCTGGGCACGGACGCTCTGCG